TGGGTGGTGGGTGCCAAGGTGGGTGGTGGGTGGTAGGTGCTAAGGTAGGTGGTGCGTGGTGCGTGCTAGCGTACTTTTGCTATCTAGCGTACTTTTGCTATCTAGCGTACTTTTGCTATCTAGCGTACTTTTGCTATCTAGCGTACTTTTGCTATCTAGCGTACTTTTACTATCTAGCGTGCTTTTGCTATCTAGCGTACTTTTGCTGTCTAGCGTACTTTTAGTAGTTTTAGCAGCAAAGTTAGTGTAAAAGTTTTAATATTCCTCGCTAAGGTGGCTAGCGCTAGCTAGTGCTGTCTAGCGCCTAGCTAGCGCTGTCTAGCGTCCTAACGCACAAGCCAATTTTTTGGTACTTTGATAGCAAAAGTTCGCAAACTAATATCCTTAGTGTAGGTGTAGTAAGGTATAGGAGGGGGATATTTTAGTAAGGGTAATAGGGTGTATTTATAACACAGCTACTAACCCTATTACCCTTAAGTAAACCCTCTATCTATATTAAGACCTCTATATTGCTCTATTAGTAATAGAAATAATTTTAATAATTACTGCACCCTTAAATAATAGTCTATGTAAGAAGAATTCTTTACTAAAGGGAGGACTTTTATAAGGAAATAGGTGGTAGGGGTAATAGGAAATAGGTTTTAGGTCTAGGTTTACAGGAAACAGGTTTTAGGTCTAGGTTTGCAGGAAACAGGTTTTAGGTCTAGGTTTGCAGGAAACAGGTTTTAGGTAGGGGTCGCAGGAAATAGGTTTTAGGTAGTAGGGGTTACAGGAAATAGGTTTTAGGTTTTAATTTTCCTTGCATAGTTATTTCCTGCCACACGCTAGTAACGCATAGTCCTCTTTAGAGTTATTTCCTGCTAGGAAATAACTTTCTATAATATATAGGGAGAATATAATAAGTATTAATAGTAGTATTTAGTATCTTAAAGGAGAGGTAAGCCCTCTACGTCTTTTTATAGGTGTGTAGCGTGTTCGCTTAGTAGTAGTGTTAGACTCTGTCTATCTTGTGTTAGGCCTAGGCTTAGGCGTAAGCCTAAGCCCTTTACATAAGATATTATTAGCTCTAATATAGCTCTAACTCTAGTCTAAGGCCCCTCTACCTCTATATATAAAAGGAGCCTTATACTTATAGATAGATAGATAAGTTCTTCTTATTCTTTTATATTAGACCTATAGGTATAGGAATTATATCTTTTTCTATACTAACGCGCACTCCTATATGCCTTTAAGTTATATTAGATACCTTTTCGATGCCCTACCTACCTACGTCGTTACACATCCCCTGTACCACTAATTTACCAGGTGCAGGATACTAACTAATACAGGTATAGTAAGGCTTGTGACCTAGACATTTAGCTTATTGTGACCCAGACAAATATTATTTGCCGAACCTATTTGCCAGCCTAATTAAGATCAACGTCTATGCAACTTGGTAGGTGGGGAAAGTTAAAGATCCTTATAAGGATCAGGTAAGCAACAGTAGCAGAGATCCGGCTTAGGGGCTCCTTTCTTCAACACGTTAGAACGCCGACTCGCCGGGTGGCAATTGCCACAGGATGATGGCGTTGCAACCCTAACCTAGGTACCCCAACCCATGGCCCATGCGACCCACCTGAACCCATTTGCTAGTCTACTATGGTACTCACCACGGTCAGCTATGGTACTCACCATGGTCAGCTATGGTACTCACCACGGCCAGCTATGGTACTCACCAAGGTCAGGCTTTATGCGCACGATTTACTAGGCTTAACAGTTATTATCTACAGCAATCAATCGTTACGTTTAGGAAAAGGACATTTTGATTCGAAAATCATGCGGAAATAGTCTGATTCTTTGATTATTTAAAGATATTATTGGTGGTATGTTAGAAGTATGTAGCAGAGATGGTAGAAAACAACATTTTCTATGCCAATAACTCTACCAAAGCAAATGTGCCCAATTAGGTGCCGAGAAACTAACAAATGTTTTAAGGGCCCTGTTAGTTAATAAAGCGGGTGCTAGGTCTTATTATAAGTATCATCATCAAAAGATGAATGATTCTCCTCCTTCTGGCTATGTCTACGAGTTAGACATCTAGTAGACAGGCTAGCTAGAAACACGCCGTGGAGTGTGTTGCTCCGTTACTCACAATTAGCTCACCACGTTTGAAAACTATTGGCTCGCACGTAATATTGGGTTTTGGCGGCATAGACTTAGTTTTGTTCTTTAAGGTGCCAACTCTTAGAGTACTGCAGTAGAGTGATCGTCACGTCTAAGGTAGGGTGTGCTTAATACAAGGTGTAAAGGAGTGCTATTTACTAGTTCTCCAAAGGCTCCTGGAAATCGTTCTATATACGATTTTTCCCATACCTAAACCTTATTTAATTGTAATATTCCTACACTCTCTATTATAGTAGATGCCAAAGAAATAATACAAATCTGATTCTTCTTCTACCTAGGTTTTCCTGCTGCGTGTATATCTAAGTATAGCTAGAGACCTCCCTTAGGTACTCACAAACAGTGAACGTATCTATTAGCGCCCCTACCTAGGACCCTCCCGATAGTATGCTGACCAGAGCCCCCCATCCAGGGCCCTCCTTCCTGTCCTAGCTAGCATTCTCATGTAAGGTCCCTCTAGTAGTACGGTCCTGGGCCCGCCACTTATTTGTTCGATCCACGGTCACTTTAAGATTGTCTCGACAGGTCCCTGGACATCCTCTAGTGAAAAGAGGCTTAGAGCTCACTAATCCTTCTACAGCCGAGGAGTCTGCTTATATGCACAGCCTATCACATTTTATACTGGATTCTATTACACTTCGCACAGTCCAACCTAGTGCTTATGTTGCTTGTTTTCCTACTCTACATTACGGCCCAGTGGCGGACGGATACAGGCGGTGTTAATCACAAGTCCAAGGATACGCCATGTGTATCTCTTAGACAACATGGTATTTGGACATCATAGTACTTGACCTTCACACCAAGCTGGGAAGACTTTACAAGTATAAAAGGGGACGTCTTCTTGCCCCTTTGCCCCATTAGCCATACAAATCGCCATTCACCAAATAGCTTCTTATCCAATATCAGAATATCTCCCTCTTTACCTGGATCACTGTCGTGAGTTGACAGCACACAACCTTTTTGGGGACACTCTAACTAACAGTTCCGCCGCACGATCTTAGACAATGAGGTTCACGTCGGAAATGCTCGTTGCCCTAGCCGCAGTAGCCACAGCTGGTGTCATGGCTGCTCCACCACCTTCTTTCAAAGGGCAATACAAGGTCGAAGTCATAATCTCACCCGGAAGGGTGGACATTGGAGATTTGAACTGGCAGCACGAAATACGCGATTTTATTTACGCTGCGAAGGACAACCAAATCGGCATCAAACACAACCCGATAGAACCCCTCCTTAGTTTTACAAATCAGTGCACCAATCACGCTGATACAAATGGTCATCTAAAGGTGCATATCCACATGGACGGCTCATGGGGCACACTTCCTGGTATAGGACCTAATGACGCCCGCGAACATCTGATCGAAGCGGTGATGCAGACGTTGCATGCGGATTCTGATTACACTGGTTATAACGTATTTACCAACTGCTGGGGGACGTCATGGCAAGAGGGAGTGCCTATTTGGAAGGGGCCCCATGCCTGCGGCGGGACCAATCCTACTGTCAGACCCCAGTGCATGTGCACAGTGGCCAATGCACAGTGCGAAAAACACTCCTGGGGACATACTGTACCGTCGGCCATTTCTGCAAGGATATACGACGTTAACTCAAATCAAAAACAGCCACAAAAACAGCCAGAGGTGCACTATTTGAACATCGAATTTTCATCAGACAAAATTGAGCCAAGCAAAGATTGTGGTCCAATTGGCACCATTATCTCTAGGGTGACTGGATTTTTGCCTGGCCCTGGGAGTCTGTTCTCTAGCACCATCGATATATTCTGCGACTGAGGATAGTACCGGTACGGTAGTGTGCCGTTGCACAAGGTGGAGTTGGGATTTTGAAGGGATTGGGTCATGGGAAAGGGGGTTAATTAGGCATGAGTGGGCTGGAAAAGACTTTCTTTCATCCTTAACACATGCCAGAAAAGAATGAAATTGATGGCTTGGCCATCTCCTAAAATCTCTTCTGTTCCTTTGTATTCTCCCTCTTACTTTGATCTTATGTCTTTACCAAAGTAAAGATTTTCGGTGTTCCTTGTCAAGACCTGCTTTCGCTGTCTGGCGGGCTTTTGACAACATGCATACGGTAACGCCTGCAGCCTTGGTAGGTACTGGTAGGTATAGTTCGTGCGCAGCCTGTGGGCCCATCAACAACCTCCGCCACTTCTCCCCTGTCTGCCCCCAATCGCTGCTGCACTACATTGATACGGCGAGGAAGCGTATGCCTACAAGTCCTACATCGAAGCAGTAATAATTTGCCATCCTATCAAGAGGGCTACGAGTGTAGTATACATGCCCTTTTGGACAATTTTGAAAGATGAGGGCCTTGCTCAACGGCACAGTAGATACTACGATGCTATTCTATCCATTCATCTCGTCCCTTCTCTGCCTGTCTGTCTCTCTACCTGAACTCATCGCCTCCCCCTTTCTCTAAAGCCGCCTCCCCGCGCGCAGCAATAGGTTTCCGACTCTCCCTCACGATATCACGAATGCCATGGCCCTCTACAAACATCATCTCCAACTCCTCAAGGCTGCGGCCCATGGTCTCTGGGTACGCAAACCAGACGACTGGCACGATGAGAGCACTGATGAGCAGGAAGACGAGGTAGTATTTCCAGGCGATGGTTTCAATGGCCACGGGGGTTACCATGTTGACTACGAAGTTCCAGAGCTGTGCGGGATTGTTCAGTTGATGTTTGATAGGTGGGGTAAGATGTAATGATAGACACGAGGGAGAGAGCCAGGAAGAAATGCACAAAAAATTTAGCATGATTAATGAAAATGAAAACATACCCAATGATTCGCCGTCGATATACCCGCCATGGGGACGCGCAACCTCGTGGGCGCAACCTCAGTACAATACAAGAAGTTCGCGCCAAGAAATCCGATTGGGATGAAAAAGTTGAACAAGAATACAAATAGCGCAGAGGCGATTTGCGCACTGTGGTTTGCTGTGGGGAAAGAAGACGACACAGCTAGAGCAAGCATGCAAGATGCCATGCCTGCTCCGCTGAACATGAAGAGCTTCCGGCGGCCAAAGCGGTCGATGGTGAAGAAGGCGACGAAGCAGGAGAGGAACTTCCAGGTGAGGGCACCGCCGGAGAGGATGCGGGATGTTTCGCTGGACATGCCAAGGCCTTGTTGGAAGATGATCTGTAGGCGGGGGTTAGAATTTCGGGTGTTCATGTCGCTGAATTGCATAGGTATGAGCTGGCTTACTGTAGAGTATGTGGAGATGAGGTTGCTACCACACATTTGCTGCAGAAACTGCAGGAAGATGCAGAGTGAGAAGCGGTAGAACAATTTGTCTTTGCCCATGGTGAAGATGTCGCTCATCTTGGCTGCGCTGCGACCTGTTTCCTCGAGCGCCAGTTCGATGCCACTAATCTCCGTGTCTACATTGGCATCATCCATAGGCACACCTTTGAATGCCGACAGACTCGCACGAGCTTCTTCTACACGACCTTTACGAACCAGCCATCGCGGACTCTCGGGGATGGAGAATACAGCCGCCATTGGAATCAACGAGATGAGTGTGGGAATCGCAAGAGGAATCCGCCATTGTAGGGGCTTGTTGTCTTGTTCGAAGAACCCGAGGTTAATCCAGGCTTCGAGGAGGTACCCAAGACTGATGAAGCATCCGTCTAGCACAACATGCTTTCCCCGATTGGCAGACGACGAGCATTCGGATTGCCACACGGGCACTGTCGCGCTCAGAGCACCGACGCCCCACCCCAGGATAAACCGCCCAACAACGAATTGTGCGAGTTGGAAGCTCGTGCACTGTAGAATTTCGCCAACAAGTGTTAATACGGCAGCGCCAAAGATGACTTTGCGTCGCCCGAGAATGTCGCCGATCCAGGAACATGAGAGAGCTCCAAAAAGGGCACCGATGGTGAAGGTGGCAACGACAGCTCCTTGTTTCGTCGACTTTGCACTCTTTTCTGCCCCAGTGGCATCGATGGTGTTGATGGAAGGGAAGTGATCGTTCCAATCACGAAGAGAGAGTAGACCCCCAACGCCAGATTGATTGTAACCGAAGAGTACAAAAGCAGGTAAGACAACAAGTAGGAGCTGTGCTATCTGCAGCGTCTTGCCTTGCATTTTCCCCATAGCTTTCTCTGAGATTCTAAGACGGTCTAAGAGACGGCAGGACGAAGGGGAAGGATTTCTTGGGGAGAAAGGACAAAGAGAGAGGAAGAAGAGAGGAAGAAGAGGGAGATGACATGGCAGGAAAGCTGTACTTGTACTCGTGCGGTTGACAGTCCACCCCACAATATTAACGTGTGGGTGGAAATAGCATGTTGGGGTGTGCCGTCAGTGCGGAGCGGCATCTAGCCATTGCTGTCCTTCATGTACGCACCTTGCCAGTCTCTCCACCCTGGGGAATTGCCGGAGATGTCAACGTGGCTGCGCAGTTACGCCGTGGGCGGTCTGACTGAAGAGTGAAGCTATGTGACAATAGCAACACCGTCAGGTCCCCGGTGTGGAGAAAAGTCCACACCGACAAGGCCATCCGATCGAGGTAAGGACATAGCTTGTTCCTTCACGGCGAACGCTCGGCCGAGGAGCCCACTCTGAATCCTGAGAGGTCACAGGTGACATCGGGCCCAGAGGCGACGAATCCATCGCCAGAAAACCGCTTGCCATCGGCTACGCTATTGAACCAAGGGAGAAATGGTTGATGCGTTGAACTTGTGTGTGGGCCGTATGTACTCTGCAGGGGTAGAGTATGTGCATGTCTCTGCACGATGTAGAGTAGAGTGGTGTTAGTGCTGTTCTGCTGAAGTTTGACGTTTGAAGGAAATCACTCAAGCTTTTCCAAGAGCAGACTTGTGGAGCTTAATCATCTCTGTCGTCATTC